TTGTGATAAATCTAAATATCAGACTATAGAAGAAAATTAATTAATATTTTTTCGACCATAAAATTCTGTTCCGACCTTAACTTTGATCTTCTAGTATGGATGCCATTTGAACAAGACGTCGTATATTACAGTTTGACAGGGCAGAACGTTCAAGTACAAATTTTTTTCACTTATAATGATGCAGGACAAATGCAAAACACAATTACGTGCTTTAATTAGTACCAAACTAATGCAGGAAGGTTCTAAAAATCTCAGAATGATTCCATGCAACTCAAGATTTCAATATTTGTTACATACAGTTTTCAAAACTGTTTGAAGTACCCATGTTGTGAGGGTTAACTTTCAATAAAAATTTTGGTGATTTGGTACTTAAATAGTAAAATACTTTAAAAGTATGACTTAGTGCTTGTTTGGCATAGCTTTTACTTGTGCTTTTACACAGAAGAAGAAGGGAAGTAGAAGTTATCACTTCTATTTAAACTTATTTGATAGTGTTTGGGAATTACATTTTAGAAGAGCTTTTAATGTTAGAAGAACTTTTTTGTCTGTTTGGCAAAATGCTTACTAAAGCTCTTTTACTACTAATATAACTAATTTGCCCTTAGATGAAATAAGGTTCCAAACACTACCAATGAAATAAAGTTCCAAACAATGACCATCCTAACTAACTGTAACCAAAACTATGATATTAACAAACATATCATTTGTGAAAGAACAATATATGTTAACCACCTATCGTGAAAATGATTTAAAAATTATTTCTTTTACATTGTTGTTGTCTATAAAATGATCTAAATAACATTCTTCTACATTTTTTATTAATTTCACTATAAGGAAGTCATTCATATAGTTAATTATTTAATTATTTTTCTTTCTTTCAGTTTTTTCAACATAATATATGTAACTCATCTTATAAATTCTTTTTTTTTTTAGTATTTTGAGAAATTGATATATGAAAGGAATTTTTTTTTAAAATACAACGTTTTACATATAAGTTCACCTATTTTTCAATTCAATTTTGAGGTGAAAAAAGGAAGAAGCTAAAAATGGAAGGATTTTTCTTTTTCTTCATTTTTTTTTTGGTTAGTACATCGTGGTTGCCATAGAAAGATTCTGAGGACGCCATTATATACATGTTCATTTTGATGTGAAAAAAAAGCTAAAGATGGAAAGTATTTCCCAATTCAATTTTGATGTGAAAAAAAAGCTAAAGATGAAAAGATTTCTTTGTTCTTCATATTTTTTGGTTGACCGTGGTTTTGCAAGTTAAAAGAGTCATTAGCCAAACTTATGGAGTTTATTTTCGTAACTATCATCAAGTAAATCATATAAAATATGCACATATATTACTTGTATATACCCACAGCTTCGCAAAGCTAAGAGAAAATAAAATTGAAGGCAAAAACATATGATGGTAATGTATACAAGAAAAAGGGAAAGCAAAAAACCAAAATCAAGAATGAATCGAAATATAAATTGCAATAGATATATATATAGTTCTCACTCATCGTTCGTTAAAATCTAACAAATCTAATTCATGATAAAACTTAAAATAATACTGTATTTAGGAGTTATTTGTCCAATGGAAAAAATACGGAATACCTAGCTTTGAAATCTTGAGGATGAGAAAAAAAAAGAGGAGGAACCTGCTGCTACGTGAAATTGTGAACCAGATGAAAGAGACAATCTGTGATGCGATTAGGTTTCTTTACATATATAGGGATACAGGTGGAATATTTTATTTTTTGTTCACAAATATAAAGGGCACGCTTGGTATTTTGAAAGTTTCATTAAACCCTTTAACAGCTTCCATTGTCTTTAAAAAAAAGAGCGTTTAAGAAAAGCTGGGGGTACCCAGCTTCTCCAAAACACTCTTCTAAGACTTAAAAGCTCTTTTAAAAAATTAGTCAAACACTACTCAAAACAGCTTCCAACCCCATAAAGCTAAAAGCAACGTTTCAAAAGCCAATCCAAACGGGCCCTTATTGATCATAAAAAATAACTTTCTAGGACTTATATGTCTTCCAATTTGAAAGCAGGCCGAACATGGTGTTAATTTTTCCATGTTAAAATTAAGGGGGTCACTATTGTTTGGCTTTGGCTATGAAATTACACTATTTTCTGTTCACAAATATAAGAGTAGAGATAAAAAATAAAAAATAAAAAATAAAAAATAAAAAAAGAAGAAAGAAAGAAAAAGAAAAAGAAAAAGAAAAAGAGAAGAAGAAGAAGAAAGAAGTGGATGTGAGATTCAGAATACACCAATTCGACTAATATGTTTGTAGGCTTCACTCGAGTTAGATTGTAACGACTCGAACTCCTGGGTCCGAACCGTTAACCGGGTCCTTACCCGAACCCGAGATCAACTAAGGACAACATCATCACTTCCTACGTCAATACGTGACACATGGGTCAGTCCAGGGTACAAAATACTCCAACAACACAGTTTTACAAAGTGGTAAAATGAACGGGTCAAAGGGGGAGGGTCAGCCAGCTGATGGCCTTTGGTCGGCCTACTGGCAAGACTGGATCGGTCGGTTGACCTACATGGTCGGCCGGCTAAAACGATTGTGCAAAGTGCAAGCTCTCGGCACTTTCCAAAATAGCGTATCGGTCGGCTAGAAAAGGGGGTTTGGTCGGCCGAACCTGGGGTTTCGATTGGATGATGGTGAGGTTCAGTCGGCCAAAACAAGACTTCACACCCCTAAAATCTCTGGAATGGCCTCCAACCGTGCACATTATGAACCAAACCTACACTCGACCTGTTACGCAATCAAGCTCCGAATTCACGGGAAAAGTTTATAATGTAATACAGTTCAAAGACATCTATAATTGGTCAAAATACACTTCATTCTCCATTCATCATGACATAATTTTCAAAGTCTTAGTTTGCATCAAAATACCATTAAGAGTTATAATTATAACACATGGACATGATTTTAAAAACAAATACACTTTACAAAGATTTGAGACTTCACAAAAGAATGGCAATTACACAAAAGAGGTCACATAATGGATTTCTATTCCTCCTTAAGCTTGGGAAGGGTCGGCGTCCGCTACCTCCTTTCTGAGCCCTGAAAAATGTTAAATATAATAGGGTGAGCTAATTGTTCAGTAAGTGGTACATAAGATACACCTCTTGTGACCCCATAAATTCAAATAATGAATAGGAATAAAGGATCGGGGTCAGGTTGTACCGGGAAATAATACAACATCAATTCCAATTTCAAAATAACAATGTCGTGTCATGAAATGCGATATCATGTATGTCGCTCCCCATTTTCAATTCACTTCAATTCTTCACTTTTCAAACCGTTAACGTAACACGTCCCTCGGTACCCCCTTGGCAATACGAGAGAAGGATTGGCCACTATCCCTGACCCTTAGTAACCCCGCGACATCATTTGGGGCCCAGATAGCTCAACCACGCTAGGGGTTTTCCCCTGCTAATTCCCTCTAGGTCACATTAACGGCATGGACCCTCGGTACCCCCTTGGCGTTCGGATTTTCACAAAATCCTTTTATCAAATATTTTTCCCAAAAATCCCTTTTTTCATTCACTTCAATTCACTTTGCCCTTTTGCATGCCCAATGCTACGAATGCATGTCACATAGCTTTCCAATAATATGAAGATAAAGGAATTTATACTACACAATTTTAACAGGTATCTTCATAGCAATTTCTAGCAAGATAATAAACACCATAGGCATGAAAATTAACACTTAGGCATGCTTTTAATACAATTCAATTAAAACACATAATCATGGATTTCATATACAACAATTACATAAATTTCAAAGCAATCAATTCAAATTAAGCATGCATGACATCAAATTTTGAGGGAAAATTCATAAAGGAACAAGAAATTAGGAATTAAAAACCCCTACCTCAAAATAAGCAAAAATCCCCAATTTGTGCCCTAGATCTCGAATTTCCTAGAGTGCACCAAATAAGGAATTGCTCTGATCAAACTGTAGATCTCGGCGAGCTCTTTAATTTGCCGCAAACGGCATCCAAAAACTCCGAATGATGAAGGAGAAATCAAGGATCAAAGTTTTGAAGTAAAAAGAAAAAGAAAAAAGAAATTGAGAGGGTGAGAGAGAGACCAGAGGGAGAGGAAGATAATTGTGAGGCTCAAATTGCCTTTTGGCCTTTAAAAGATGTTAATGGTGGGCCCCACCAAAATTAATTTTTTTTTTTTTATTTTTGCACCACAATTAAATTATTTTATACACATTCAAACTATATATACACATTTAAAAATTCACAACTTCATATAACACATTAAATAAAAATGCATGTGATGCAAATGGACCCAACCAACACCCCCGTACACGACAAGTCCAGTAACGGGTCCTACACGGGACTGTCCGGCTCGAAAAACGAAAAAATGCGAAAATAGTAAACCTTACATTTCAAAGAGTCTCGAAATCAATGAAATGCCCCAACTAATTCTCGGACACAACCGGCACACTCCACAGTGTCCGGTACACGAAACAACAAAAGACAAAAATGCCTTTGTAACGACAAAAATTTCGAAAAAATGAAAAATGGCGAAAAATGGAAACATTACATAGTTTTAACTCATGATGAGCTCAAGCTCGGCCCTTGAGCTCTTAAAATAAATTATGTTAAATTTTACCTTTATATTTTGTTACTTTTGTTATGAATAAATAGTTACGAAGCCTACAAAAATTATAAATAAAACATATAATTAAGACAACATTTAGGAATTAAATCCACATGAGTCACGACTAGTTGGATCAAATTCAACTCATTTACCTAATACAATGGAATAGAATAAGTCTACCCGAATTATTTGATGAACAGAGATAATTCCCTTCAACAAGTAAAGCATCTACAGGGAATTGACAAAATTGCAAGGTAACAAATATATGGTAACAAAAATTTCATTTGAAGTAAAAACCATTATATACATTAAAAAGTTGCAACTGAACCCCTAAAGATATCACCCCACCAGGGCTTGTCAGTCTCATCATCAAGGAAATACATCATGAAGAGATGGCTCAAGGCAAGGATCCTCCAATAGTGATGACAAATCCTCCGTAAGTCCGTGATCCAGACAACTTTGGAGAAGCTCTGCAAAATTACTTTGGGGATTGTTGAACTGATCAAAGCTAACAGAATCAAGAACTTGTGTGGTTTGGAGAGGCTGATCAAAACAATTTTCGAGAAGCTCTGCATAATAACTTTGGTGATTGTTGAACTGATCAAAGCTAAGAGAATCAAGAAATTGTGTGGTTTGGAGAGGCTGATCAAAACCAAATGCACAAGTACCATAGGTGTTGAAATTTGCCATATTATCCATTTCAGTAACTGTTTCTTCAGATGTCAATGCAGTGGAGTTGTTTCCAGCTGAGCTTATGATCATGGGTTGTTCAATGTCTTCATTTATTCCACTGTAATGATCCGTGTCCATTTCAGTGGGCTCAGACTCAGTTTCTTCAGATGTTGCTCTCATGATTGGTTGTTCAATATTGTCGTGATTTCGATTTCTGTCTTTTTCCTTCTTGTAAATCTTGCATAAAACCCATTCATCAAGCTGAAAGAAATTAAGAAAGATAAGTGTATGAAGCTTAATCAAAATATATATATATATATATATATAGATATATGTATATGGACAGACAAAAACATATTGAGATAGTTATGCATATATATACACGTACCCTTGAGTTATTTTGTTCCCTTTGAGTAGTGGAAGGACTATATAATGTAAATTCTTGCATAAGCCACGATGTTTTGTTTTTGTTTTGAGCATTTCCTTGGTAGAATGCCAATGCCTTCCTATTTCCAATTTTGCGGCCATTAAACTTGACAACCTTATCAGCAGATGTTGCCCTCCAGAATCCATTCCCTGCAGTCCTATTTGGTCTTTTTCCATTTGGATACTTTCTGTCTCTTTGTGTGAAAAAATACCATTCCTTTTCTCCTTGAGCTTGGTAATTCACTGTTAATTTGAAAAATGCATGCATGTTAAAATTATACATAACGTACGTGTGTGTGTGTGTGTGTGTGTGTGTGTGGGAGAGAGAGAGAGAGAACATAATTAATTTTAAGACTACGATATCACAAAAGCCCATGTCACAGAAAATGGAACATGAAGAAGCTGAAGGAGACACCTTTAATTAGAGCAAAAGAAAAAGAAAAAAAAAATGTTCAAGGACGTTAATAGCTATAAAAAGGTTACTACTTTTTTTTTATTTTTTAATTTCTGTTATGTGTGTGTGTGTGTGTGTGTGTAGTCTATAAAATCCTAAAAACCACTATGAAACCCTAAAACCACTATAAAAATCCTAAAAACCATTATAAAACCCTAAAACCACTATGAAACCCTAAAACCACTATAAAAAAAAAAATCTACAATAAAAATCCAACGAAACTGATAATATGCACACTGCGAGCAAATTTATGATCATCGATACAAGTTTCAAGATTTATTAAAAAGAAGAAAACTAAACATATAATCAAACAGACAACAAAAAATAAATAAATAAATAAACACCAAAATTAGATACGTAGAAAGTAAGCAACCTAATATTAACAATAATTAATTAATCAGATCTATTCCTAAAAAATTAACCATATATTCTTGTTTCAAGATTTATGAATTAAAAGCAAATAAAACTAAAACATATATATAATCTATGGCAAAAAAAATATATATATATATATAGATATAAACCTGCAAGTTCATCCGGAGTGTATCTGTAGAAATCGACTTCGTGGATCCTGTTGGGCGGTAAGATTAGGTTCTTCACTTTTCTTCTCAAGTAATATTCGACCAGCTCTTCATCATAAGGCCGAAAACGATAACCAGGTGGAAAAGAATCTAAATCACCACCATGTTCATCATCACCACCATTAATGTCCTTGTTGATCAAAAATGAATTAGGACGTTGTTCTTGTTGACTTCTTGCAGTACTGTTTAATAGTTGCGGTTGACTTCTTGGACTGCCACTTTGTCTGATCACTTGGTTCTCCATTGACGTAGGACTCGGAGAATGGAAGAATTCCCACAAACACGGAGAGGGCGTGAGAGAGAGAGTTAATGCTTCTTCAGGTTAAACTTTGTTGCGTGAGATGGATAGATAGATATATATACATATAGAATTAGGGTTGTAAATATCAACGGGCTGGTTCGTTGAGCAAATAAGTCAAACTCAAGCCCATTTTCTAAACTCGTTTATATTCATTAACTTAAGTTTGCATATATTCGTAAACTCAAGTTTAGTTTTTTGAAACTCTTTACATCTCAAGTTGTGCCTATAACAACGGACTTGAGCCCGAGCAAATAAAACCTCGGGCTCGACTCCATTCTTTTGCAAAAATGAGCCCGAATTTGGCTCATTTACTCATCGAACAAATTCAAACCGAGCCCAAACCATTGATATATATATATAAATACACACACATATATACGTATATCTATCTCATGCAACGAAAATGATGTGGCGCATAACAAATCCAAATGAGCTAACAGAGTCTCCGACTTGGGCCTTATTTCAGAAGGCTTAGTGCACCCAGAATTTACCCTCACCAGGCCTTTCAGAATTGGGCCTTTAGATTCGAAGGGTTTTATACTGAATTGGGCCTCTCTATAAAGTTTTTAAAATTAAATCCATTTACAATTTTCTAAGAGCAGTGTCACTCCAATAAAAAATTATTATTACACACTATCATTTTCATTTTTACCAATTCGAATTCTCAATCACCACTTTAATAATTATAATTTTTTTCAAAGTAAAAAAACATAAGTTACTAAACATCTTGAACCAAAAAGTAGCATATGGGTAATTTTTTAAATGACATAATGTGGGGATCCACATTAGTTAGAATAATAACAATAATATTATTAATAATAATAATTTGGTAGTGTTCTCTAAAATTTGAAGTCATTATAATGAAATTTTAAATTAAATATGAGAGATACGAGCCATGTTCATGAATATAAACAAGTACGAACTTGGTAATAATTTTTCTATTAAAGTTTATATGTAGCACATTTGTATACGCATCTAATGCAACGGGTCATATTATCTTGAAAGCTCTGGGTGGGTTTGTTGTAATCTTGGGCCTTGGGTCTAGGTGTCCATGGGTTACTTTGTAATGCTTGTTAGCAGTGGGCTAACTTTGGGCCTGTAAATATGTTAATATTTACGGTCTATAAAATTGAATTTACCTTTAAAAAAAAAAAAAAACTTTTGCAGTCATAGTTTTGAAAATTATTATTTTTTCATTTCAAGTCGTAAATCGCTAAATTTTTCAGGAAGTAAGTTCTTAAGATTTCGTTTTTGAATTACACTTCTAACTCAAATAGTGCGTGTGTTGTGGGATCGATACATGTGTTTTGAAGAAGAAAAAAAAATTAATATGAGGAATGTCGCGTTATTGGTTGAAAAATCAATCACTGCAAATATAATTAAACCTATTAATTAGGTTTCTCCTAAGGAATATTAAAACATAATATTTTAATGACAAAAATACCCTTGTAGCATCATCTCATATCATATACTGGATTTCTGACTTCCATTGGATTCCTACTTTAAAATCAAAGGGCTCTAACCTACATCGTGTAAGCTTTCCTTCTCAAATGGGGAGGTGTGTGTTGGAGTCTCAATGTATGTATAATTAATGTGTGTGTGTGTATATATATATAGAGTGGGTATGTGTTTGTTTGAAAAAATAAATAAATAAATTAAAATTAAAATTAAAATTAAAAATCCTACTTTAAATGGTTCCATATATATATATAGTGAGTATGTGTTTGTTTGGAAAAAAAAAAAAAAAAAAAAAAAAATCCTACTTTAAATGGTTCCGTATATATATCTACATGATAAAAGAAGGGATAAGGTCATCCCATTAGTATACATTTTAACATTCAATTAATCAAACATTTACTTCATACAAACGAATATGCGAAGGTTGAATAAGTTGACCAGAATTATTTGATGAACAACTTAACTCATTTGCATTATTATTGAACTTGATTAGCAAAAACAAATAATTCCCTAAACAACCTTATGAAGAGAAATTCAACTTAATTGTAGCAAAATAAAGCTAAATAATTCCCTTAACAACCTTAAGAAGTGAAATTCTACTTAATTAATAAAGCAGCTCCAGGGGAAAAAATTGTAAAATAAATAATATGGTAACAAAAATTGCAGTGGGACTCTTACCTTAGTAAGATTGAGATTTCACATCAAAAAGTAGAAAACTTAGGAAGAAAAAAAAAACGTTGAAGAGTTCGTTTGGATTTCTAACATACTTAACTTGAATGATTAAGTCTTTTGGGGTGTCTTGACACCTAGTGCCCTAAAATCGGCCGGTTTGGGAGTCATTGACTGAAAGCTTCCTACATAGGTTTTCTAAAGAGCTTAAAGGATTCGAACATTGCACAAAACTCATACTGATGAAAAAATAATAATAATAATAAACATACTCTCACACAAACGCATACATAAAGAGTAAAAAGTCATGATAAACCAGATAGAAAATAACTATAAAAAATAAATTTTTTTTTTTTTCTGTGAATACTTATGAAATCTAGAATTATAAACAAGGCAATAAACACGTGAAAGAGCCCGTGAAAGAAATTCCATTCCCAGAAAAATACATAAGCTCAAAACTTTAATAAATGTATGCAAATCCACGTGATGCATCCCCTGTTACTGTGCAATCAAAGTACTGTAGGTACATATATATTATAGGGTTAAGTGCATTAAACTCCCTGAACTTTCTTCTCTCTCACGAAACCCTCTTGAACTATGACAAAAACACTTAACCCCCTAAACGATTCCATTTGTTGCAAATGTTAACTCTCCGTTATAAATTTGACAGAAATGAGAGCACTTATGTTAGTGAGGGGTCAACAAAAATTTAAAAGGACAAAATTAGCCCTCATGACCTAATTAAGAGAGAAATGTAAAAACCCTTACCCTCGCCAAAGAGAAATTCTCCCTCAAGTTGAGCTGATCCTCGCCAGCGAAGATGTGTCGGATCGCCGAGCTCCAGCACGGACCAATGGCAAAGACTCAAATTCCGAGCGTCGTCAAAGGTTTTTGCCTGCTAATTAAATGCAATCCAATAACCCACAAACGAAAACCACCCCTCAACCCTTCGATGATGATGACGGTGACGGTAATCAAAAACCCAAAAAACCCTTTTTAGGAAATTCAAGAAATTTCACAATAAACCCCTCCCAAAAACAGAAAAAAGGTCGATCATTTCAATCTATAATCAATCTCTCCCATATATATACACACACACACACACACATACAAAGATCACAATGAGGAATGTGAAGATGAGTACACAGGGAGGGATGTGATACACATTGAGGGATAGAGTTGGGATGTGACACACATAGAGAGGGGAAAGAAAGAGCTGTACTCTTTGATGCCCGATTCATGTCAACCATGCTCCGGGAGCACATCGCCGACGTCGCCGATAGTGTGATGTTTCTGAATTTCACAATTTTTCATTTTTCTGGAATTTTCCATTTTTGCAAGGGCATTCTCGTCTTTTCTTATTTTACGTGCTGGACACTATGGGGTGTGCCGGTTGTGTCCAAAAGTTGGTTGGGACATTTGATTGAGTCCAAGACTCTTTGAAATGCCAAGGTTACCATTTTTGCATTTTTCTGTTTTTCGGGCCAGACAGTCCCGTGTGGGACTCCTACCGAGACTGTTGCATACGAGGATTTCAATTGGGTTCATTTGCATCATACTTATTTTATTAAATTTGTTTTATGTAATTGTGAAATATGTGTATATATATATATGTGTGGTGTGAAATGGAAATAAAAGAAAAAGGAAAAATAAAATAAAAAGGCGGTGGGCCCCACTACCATTGAACTTAAGAATAGAGACCACCCTTCAGTCTCACAATTCTCTTCTCACTCCCGCTGGTTTCTCGCTTCCCCTCTCAAACTCTCTTTTTCTTTTTCTTTTTACATCAAGACTTTGAATCTAAATCTCTCCTTCACTACTTGGAATTTTTAAGTGCCGTTTACGGTAAATTGAAGCTCACGGCAAGATCTACAAGTTGATCAAAGCAATTTCTAGTTGGTGCACTCCTTGATTTTCAAAATTTAGGGCATCAAATTGAGGGTTTTGCATAATCTTGAAGTAAGGGTTTCTAATTCCCAATTTCTTGTTCCTTGTGAGTCCATTTCTTGTAATTAATTTTTTTTGGAAAATATTTCTTGTAATTAATTGTTGCTAACATATTTAATTGATGTTAATTAACCCTAGAATGATTTTATTGTGATGTATAAAGTTCTTGAATTTATGTTTTAATTGATGTGTATGAAAAACATGTTTAAGTGTTGATTTCCTATACCTATTGTATTACTAATTGCTAGAAATAATATATGTAAGCATGTATAATTTTTTTTAGAATTTTTTGTGAAGCATGCCTTATTTAAATTGTTTATGCTTATATGTGTTGATGGTATTATATAAGAAGCATGCCTAAATGTTAATTTCTATGCCATGGTATTTATTATTTTCCTAGAAATTTTTATGAAGAAACATGTTAAATTGTGAAGTGTAAATTTCCTCTATTATTATATTATTGGAAAAAAAGAAATACATGGAATGCATCCATAGAATTGGGCATGAAAGAAAAGGGGAAAGTGTTTTGAAAAAAAAAGATTTTGGAACAAAGTTTTGATTAAAATGATTTTTATGAAAATCCAGTCGCCGCGGAGCTACCAAAGGGCCGTGGTGTTCATATAACCTAAAGGGAATTAGGGAGATTGCCCTAGCGTGGTTGAGTTATCTAGGCCCCAAATGATGCCGCAGAGGTACCAATAGTCAAGGACAATAGCCAATCCTTCTCTCGTGTCGCCGCGGAGTCACCAACGGACGGGTTATATTAACAGTTTGAAAAGTGATGAATTTGGATTTTGAAAGTGGGGAGTGACATTCATGGCATCACATATCATGGCACGACGTTGTTATTTTGGAATTTGAATTAATAT